CCGTTTAAAAAATTCTAACGATGTCTCTTCCTGTGACAGATGCTGTGTTGAAATTTCTTGTGGTTGTATAATTGAGCTAAAATCCGGTCTAACATACCCATGCTGAGTGTTTTGGAAACACTGGTGAAGCTGTCTCTCAAACACAGATGTAGTTAGTTCAGATCCGTACCTCAAATGAAAATAACCCCAGAAGTGTGTTAAATCGCCTTTTCCTAGAGCTGAAAATTTGAAAACCTTCTTCTTGCCAGCATGTGTTAATGTATTTTCAGGCCACCCTTAGAATTTTTTTCAGTTCATTCAAGTGCAGAAATGTCAGTTACATCCACACCTATGTAACCAAGAACTGTTTCTAACTAAATCTTCAAATTTGCATCACTTGTCAATAATTTCTGATTTCTGACAATATTCTTCTTTTCAATACAACATGTTAAGAATGACACTAGAGGAAGCTGGAGAGATGGCCCAGTGGTTAAGAGCACTACTGGCTCTTCCAGAGGTCCTGAGATCAATTCCCAGCAACCACATGGTGGCTCACAACCATCTATAATGTGATCTGGTGCCCTTTTCTGGAATGCAGGTGTACATGCAGATAGAGCACTCATATACATTTAAGAAAGAAAAGAGAAAGAGTGATGCTAGAGAAATGTCCTGCTCCTGTTCCTTTGCAGAGAGATAAAGCTAAGCAAAGAAACCATGCATGTCTACACAAGAGGCTGACTGTAAATGATGGTTGAAGGGTTAGCCATAAACAAGACACACTACTGGCTTAAAGCTCATGAAACATAGAAGAGGAGACAGAAAGAATACAAAATGGAGGATGGCGAGAAGGGCTGAAGAATAGTCTTCTTCTAAGCACAACATGGCCATGGCAACCAAGATCTCTCTAGCATTCTCACAGATTTGTATGCTGGCACTGGATCCACGCAAGGGTTCCTCCTAACAGTCAGCTACGGAGGGGGGAATAACCATTTCCACACACTGCTGAATCTAGTAGCAAGCATCAGATTATAGAAAGGGCCAGGCATACCAGCCAGCTGTATATGCATTAGTGAGTTCACCAGGCTCCGATGGTTAGCTCCAAATGCAGAGTCACACAGACAGCCCTAGTTAAACTCTGTGGGATGCTAAACAAGGCCAAAGCTGAGGCCAGCATATCTAGGCATCGCTCCTCAAAGCTTATTCTTGAAAATATTGTGAATGCTTAACACTTATCACTGAAATGATTCTTTAGAATAAATTATAAATTTTCCCTCAGAGGGACTATGGGAGAGAAAGACACTGTATATTGTGTGTATTTTACTATTTTACCATGATTAGCAATTTCATCTTATTTGTTTGTTTATTAAGTAGCTCTGGCTATCTGGGAATTCACTCTGTAGACCAGGCTAGCCTCAAACTCACAGAGATCCACCTGCCTCTGCTTCCTGAGTACTGAAATGAAAGACAACCACAGAACTATAATAATCAAGCTTGGGAGAGGAGCAGGAATTTAACTCCAAGTGTCACTTGCATCAGTCCCAAAATATCTAAAACAATCAGCTCAGTTCTACTGGTACAGGTATTTATTGGTCTAGAAATATGGCAAACCTCCAGAACTGGGCAAAACTTGGTTTTCAGATCCCATGCAATGTCTGTTCTGGTGCTGACATCAATGAGAAGCAACTTTGTATTTCGTAAACTTGATTTTTTTGCCTCATAGGAGAATACATAACCTAGGTAGCACTCTGTGCTATCTGGGTTGTTGGATTCTTTTTCCCCAGAAGTCAATATTATGGGAACACTTGCTCATATACATCAAGAAGTATGTTTATAAAATCAGCAAATAAGCAACTTTTTCCATTTATCTTTCTTTAAAATCTTTAACTTCTCTTCAAATTGATCATTATTTTTCAAAACTAATAAAGTTGTGGTGGACATGATAACACTTTGGCAGTGTTAAGTACTGGAAATATTTTATACATCACAGGGCTTTAAATTCTATTTTATGTAATCCTGATACCTTGAAAAAATAAACTAGCCGGCTGGAGAGATGGCTCAGCGGTTAAGAGCACTGCCTGCTCTTCCAGAGGTCCTGAGTTCAATTCCAAGCACTCACATAGTGGCTCACAACCATCTGTAATGAGGTCTGATGCCCTCTTCTGGTGTGTGTGAAGACAAAGCACTCATATGCATAAAATAGATAATAAGGAAATATAAATATATTAAAAAATAAACTAGCATCTTTTACCTTTAAAAAAAACTCTTTAGACTCTAAGTCTCCGTAATCTATCAACCTGTTTCACTTTACAATGAAATGAAGAAGGCATGTACTAAGAATAAAAATAGTTTTACTGAGTGACAGAGAGGATGGGCACCGTTCCATTTCTTTCCTCCAATTAGCATCCTGAAATCCGTATGCCTTAGCCCAAATGTTTGTTTCTGTCTTGTCCGTTTGGTCTTCTGTGTCTCAAATAACAGCAGCTCCACTCTTCTCACTCAGACAGGACACTGTCCCTGTCATCCTGGACTCCTCTAGCTTGTGGTCTTCAGCAGCGTCTCGCTGACTTTCTCTTCAGATTTCCAGAGTAAAAGCATGAATTGTTTTTCCTGTGTCAACAATGGCTCCCCCTAGTCTGTGCTTTTACTGGAGGTATGAGGATCCTTTCTGAAGTGCAGGTCTGACCATGATCCTTCTTGATCTGAAATCCACCAGTTGTTTCCCATGCTTTCAGGGACTGACAAGGACAAGTGATCACCCCATTCTCCTTCCTTCTGCAGTGGGCTCCAGCCTCTTCTTCAGCATTGCAGGTCGTCCCGCCTCAGGGCATCAGGATTCAGTCTCTTGCTGTCTGGAATGTACTTTGCATTGTGGCATAATTCCTTCCTTTTTCTTCAGCTTCTCGTTCAACCAAACTGACCATTCTGGTTAGCTCACCATCTCTCTCTCCTGGCACTTCCAATCTTTTTTACTTACTGGTTTTTCCATATGTAGCTTCTAGGTAACTAGTTCATGCATTGTGCTGCTCATCTTTCTTGGTTGACATATATACTATCCTTCCTGAAAATTATTTCTCTTATTAATGCTTTTGGGATTCACAGTAAGTCTATTATTTTACATTTTCATTAAAATGGTTTTTCTTCTCTCCAGAAGGGCTATCTTCAGTGTAATATGGCTTAATTTAAAGTACAGTCTTGTGTGTGTGTATGTGTGTGTGTGTGTGTGGTTTTCTTTTTTTTATTAAATTTTTATTTTTTATATCAGTTACAGTTTATTTACTTTGTATCCCAGCTATAGCCCTCTCCCTCATTCCCTCCCAATCCCACCCTCTCTTCTTCATCTTCTCCCGGCCCCTCTCTAAGTCCACTGATAGGGGAAGTTCTCCTCCCCTTCCATCATACCCTAGCTTATCAGGTCTCATCAGGACTGGCTGCCATGTCCTCTTTTGTAGCCTAGCAAGGCTGCTCCTCTGTTGGGGGGTGGGGAGATCAAAGAGCCAGCCATTGAGTTCACGTCAAAAATAGTCCCTGTTCCCCCTACTAGGGAACCCACTTGGATACTGAGCTGCCATGGGCTATATCCGAGCAGGGGTTCTAGGTTATATCCATGCATGGTCCTTGGTTGGAGAAACAATCTCAGAAAAGACCCCTGTGCCCTGATATATTTTGATCTTTGTGGAGCTTCTGTCCTCTCCAGGTCATACTAACTCCCCCTTCTTTCATATGATTCCCTGCACTCTGCCAGAGGTTTGGTTATGAGTCTCAGTATCTACTTTGATACACTGCTAGGTAAAGGTGTGTGGTTTTTCAAGACAAGATTTTTCTGTGTAGTCCTGGAACTCATTCTGTAGACCAGGCTGGCCTCAAACTCAGAGATCCACCTGCCTCTGTCTCCCAAGTGCTGGGATTATAGGCATGCGCCACCATCGCCTGGCTTTTAAAGTACAGTCTTAAATAAGGAAAACAAGAGAGCCAACAATAAGGACGGTAGCATGAGAAACTGGAGGCCATAGCCAAACTATTATCACCACCAAGGAAAGCCTTGCAGTATGTGCCGCCCTGACTGAGGAACAGAGAAAGATGGTATCATCTTTTGAAGTAGGTGGAGCAGCTATCATCTGTGCTCCTGACCTGTAAGGTGGTGCGAAGACTCACGGCCATATGATACTTCAAGTTATAGTAACAACATATAAGCTCAGTGACAGTGGAGAGAATGCAAGTATGGTCCCTTTGATAACCCCTTATTCCATAAGGTCCTTATTTCTACCCTATAAAGAAAAGCTGATGTGAGGCTGGAGAGATGGCTTATCAATTAAGAGCACTTGCCGAGGACCCCTGTTCAGTTCCCAGGACCATATCGTAACTCACAACTGTCTGTAAGCTCAGTTCCAGGGTCTCTGATGCCCTAGAAGGGCCTCTAAAAGCTCTGCATTTTGTGTGGTGCATATATAGACAGACAAATACTCATACACATGCATAAGACAGAACAAAATAAATTAAGAAAAGCCAACATAATATGTAAAACAAGTCGCCCATCATCTACTGTTTATAGTTTCATATTTCCTTTTCTCAATAATAATTACAGGCACATGCCTGTAATTCCAGCAGAGGCAGGTGGTTCTCTGTGAGTTCAGGGCTAGCCTGCTCTACAAAGCAAGTCTAGGACAGCCAAGGCTACACAGAGAAACCCTGTCTCAAAAAGTCATAAATAATAATATTTATAATAAATACCAAAAAATGTTTGTAATACTGATCAAAATATATGTAAAGACATTGTTAAGTAATGCCACATAAATATGAGAAACAAAACCCTGTAAAATAGCTAATTTTTGTACCTAGAAAAAGGAAAGATAAATGGAAGATATAAATAAAATTACTGCATGCGGAGTCATTTATAATTGGGAGATAATCAAAATTACTTTTGATCATATTTATCATTAGTGCCAAATCAGTTCTGGGTAATTTTTATGGTATTACTTGTGATTTGTTACTTTAAATGAACTGCTTTGTAAATGAGAACTCACTTTAGATTATATGTGTCATATTCAATGGAAGACTTGGGCACTGCTGAAATCATGTACAGGAATCCAAGGTGTTCATTCTCCTGTAATATTTTGATGATTTGCAAGGGATCTTTAATGTTGGCTTTAATGACTTCTTCTCGGTCATGGAAGGTGTACTTGGGATAACTTGAAGACCTCTTTTCAAAGAGCCCTCTTCTTCTAGTCCCCGTGCGCGGCAGTTTAGACGGAGAAGGGGAATACACATCAACGGAGAGTCTATGGCTCTAAACAAAGACAATTGTATTAAGCATGAATTTCTGCAAAAAGACAAAAGATAAAAGGCAGAGACACAAAATCCTCTCAAAGAGGAGCAGAATGGCTGTCCTTAAGGAGTGGCATCTCAGTTCTCCCCATTCCTGAACCACACACAGTCCTGCTCTCTGACAGCATGCTTGTTACAGCCACATGCTGCTCGGTCTCTGGGCTCCACCCCTCTCCTTGCTCAGGCGTGCCGTATCTGCCTGCTCTCCGCCTTAACTTATTTGATACTTTCTGGTGAATGCAATCTTAGCTGCCATTATAACTTGTAATAAACTTCACTTCTTTGTGAAGCATAGGGATGGCTACACCGAATACTTGGAAATCATTGCTGTCACAGCCTTTGGGAAGCATTTATTTTGTTAAGGGAACAGTGCTTCTCAAATATCAGTGTACTTGTGGATTAGGGCGGAGGCATGGGGCTTGCTTAAATGCAGGTTCTGAGGAGGGACTGCTGGGATCACGCCGGCATCTCTAACCTGCCCACAGAAGTGGAAATGGTGGGTAGCTGGACCACACTCCTGAGCAGGGAGGCTGAGTGTCGCCCTCGCTGTGCTCACGCCCCCATGCTTGGAGCAGCAATCTGGGCAATCCATATTCTAAAAAAAAACATAGCGTTTTCTTTCTCCCGGGCGTCTCCTTTCCTCCACATTTCTCTTTAGTCCTTTTTAGCAAATTCCTTCTATTGCAACCAGGAACTGTGCATTGCTCAAAGCCGTCCTTCCTGTTCAGCCATCCCTTCTAAGGAAGACGCCCACAAATTTCTGTTTTCTTCTAACCCTCAAGATTGGGAGGCCTGTTTTATGCCAAGTGAATCAGCTAATGAGAAGTCAACATTTTCCTGGCTCTACTTACATTGTCCCTCAAGAAAGAGGAACAGCTTCTCCCATTTCTATTTCTTTCTTAGTTATCTATAATCGCTTAAAGCAGTGGTTCTCAACCTGTGGGTCGCAACCTCTTTGTGGATGAACTAACCCTTTCACAGGGCTCACCTGAGATCATCAGAAAAAAAAACAGATATTTACATCATGATTCATAACAGCAGCAACATTATAATTATTAAGTAGCAACAAATTTACAGTTTGGGTCACTACAGCATGAGGAACTGTATTAAAGAGTAGCAGCTTTAGGGAAGGCTGAGAACCACTGACTTAAAGTCATGCTCTGACGAGTCCTTCTCAAGGTCACTTCTAAGAGAACTATTAGGCAGTTGAGTGCTTTATAATTTCTTTTGGACTACCTTGGTTTTTTTTTTTTTTTTTTTTTTTTTTTTTTTTTTTTTTTTTTTTTTTTGTTTTTTTTTTTTTTTTTTTTGTTTTTTTTGTTTTTTTTTTTTTTTTTTTTTTTTTTTTTTTTTTTTTTTTTGAGTTAGGGTCTCACTATGGAGCTCTCGATGTTCTGGAACTTGCTGTGTAGACCAGGCTGGCCTTGAGCCCACAGAAATTTGCCTGACCCTGCCACCTAGGTATTGGGATTAAAGGTGTGCACCACGATGCCTGGCTTGATCTCTGTTTTATTGCCCCTCTTCAAAGTTTCCCAAGTTCCCCACTTCTGGTAAAATTTATTACAAATTTCAAATAATTAGATATATATAATAAATAGACATAACATTATATATAATACCATTAACATGAAAGAAAATGTCAGAAGACAATAAAGATACCAGATTTTCACTACATGATTTTCCTTTTCTGTGCTCATTTTCCTTAGAAATATTCTATTTTCCAAATGTGGGTAACCTTTTATCCATATTCTTAGGAACTAAAAGCATGTGAGCAGAACTATAAGGCAGTTGAGTGCGTTATAATTTCCACTGACTACACGATGTCTTTTGGGCTACCAAAAAAAGCAGAACACTGGGCAGTTTAAAAGAGTGCTTAGTGAGATAAAAAGTTAATAAACTGTAACTAACATTTAAAAAAATGAAAAAGAGAAAAAAAAGAATATTAATCTTGTAGAACCCCTGCTTAGATGTAGCCCATGATAGCTCAGTATCCAAGTGGATCCCCTAGTAAGGAGAACAGGGACTGCCTCTGACATGAACTCAGTGGCTGGCTCTTTGACCACCCTCCACTGAGGGAGGAGCAGCCCTGCTAGGCCACGGAGGAGGACACTGCAGCCAGTCCTGAAGAAACCTCATAACCTAGGGTCAGATGGAAGGGGAGGAGACCTCCCTTATCAGTGGACTTAGAGAGGGGCGTGGGAGGAAATAAGGGAAGAGGGTGGGATTGGGGGGAATGAGGGATGGGGCTACAGCTGGGATACAAAGCAAATAAAATGTAATTAATGTAAAAAATAAAAATTAAAAACACACACACACACACACACACACAAAGAGTGCTTAGATGTCTTACATCTCATACCTGCTTCCTTTTTAGAGCCTCTGAAGACGGTTGACTAGAAACTGATGGTCTTTCATCTGTGCTTACAGGTGGCTTAAGGATTCCAGAGAGCAGTAGTTGTTGTCGATTCTGTTCATATATGTATTCTGGCTGCTTATGATCTTGGTAGGTTTTTAGCATTGGCTTTGGGGAGTAAGAGATGGAGTTATCTTGTTAATGTCATTGCAGACTTTATTCTTTACTTTATTCTTTGGATTCTTGCCCTTTCGGAAACTGATCTCCTCTGTTCTAAGTTCCTATCCAAGCCACAGTCCTCTTGCTTCCTGTCCCTCATCTGCTGCTCAAATAAGACTTTTCTGTTTGGTGGTCAACACTTCTACAACTAAGTTTAAGAAAAGCTTAGAACCATGGAATCACTTGCCCCTAAGGAACTGTGACAAGTTTACTACCACTCAACTGCAGGAAGAAACAAGCAGCACACAAGCCCATGTGCTGAAGGAAACAGGGCCAAGGCTCTGGGATACAAAAGGACTCTCAGAGCGGGGCAAGCAAACACTTCCAGCAGATACTCAGCATTAAAGAGGCCATTTTCCACCCTGGTTAACTTTGGTTAACTTGACACAAACCAGAGTCATGTGAGAAGAGGGAACCTCAATTAAAGAATTGCCTGCATCAGACTGGGCTGTGGGCATGTCCATGGGGCACTGTCTTGATGAACGGTTTGTGTGGGAGGGCCCAGACCACAGCAGGGTGAGTGGCGCTAGGAGGTATGAAAAAGCAGGCTGATCAAGGGGCAGAGAGCAGCATTCCTCCATGGTCTCCTCCCACCTCGAGCCTCTGCTGTGGCTCCCCGGGTGATGGCCTGCAACCTGTAAGTGGGAGTGAGCCCTTTGCTCTCCAGGTTGCTTTTAGTCACAGTTACAGCAACCAAAAGCAAATTAACAACAGATTCTCAAAAATTTCTGTTTTGGGTAAGAATTATGAAGTTGTAAATAATTATATCCAAAATACTGTTTCACCTTCTTCTAATACTTGGGGGAAAGGTAAGAATTTGCTGTGTAGCTGGTAGAGGCTTCCTTCATGATTTTCCTGTACTGTACACGTTTTCCTGACTACAATTCCCAAAGCCATACACAATCTGTCTTAGTCACTCTTCTATTGCTGTGAAGAGACACCATGAGCACGGTAACACTTTAAAGACAGAACATTTAATTGTGGGCTATCTGGCAGTCTCTGGGGCTTAGCCCATTATCATCACGGTGGGGGGCACAGCGGCAGGCACGGGTGATGGAGAAGTGGCCGAGAGCTACTTACTGATCAGCAGGCAGAGAGAAGAGCGAGACTGAGCCTGGTGTGGGCTTTTGAAACTTCAAAGCCCACTCCCAGTGACCCGCTCCCTACTCCAACAGTGTCACAGCTCCTAATCCTTCTAATCCTTTCAACAGTCGCTGCCTGGTAACTAAGCATTTAAATGAATGGGGCAATGGCGGTCATTCTTTCAAACCACTACACAACCTCACCAACAATAATTTTACCATTGAAACCAAGTGTGAACCCTTCAAATTCCAATATAGGCTTTAGAGGCAGACTGAAGATATCTTAGCAGCTTGGCTCTAACAGGCTTGCAAAGATCTATACTAAGACAAAGTCCCAAATTGCGAAGCAACTTCAGAGACATGAATGTCAATTGAATGAGAGAGACACAATGGGAGCAAAGAAAAGAGAGGATCCAGATAAATGCAGGGAAAGAGAGCAGAACATAGAAAACACATGGGTTTGTTTATGTTGTGTGTAGGTATGTTCAAGTACATGTGTATTCATATGTGTGTGGTGGGCAGAGAACAGCTTTGGCTATCATTCCTCAGGTACTGTTCACCTCATTTTTTTGAGACGGCCTCTCATTGTCTTGGGACTAGCCAAGTAGACAAGGCTGGATAGTTAGCCAGTCCAGGGATCTGCCTGAATACTGTGTTGGTTTGTCTGATATCTTGAGTTCAATCCCTGGACCCTACTACCTGGTGCAAAGAGAGTGCTGACACCCACAAATTGTCTTCTGACTTGCATATGCCTCCCCCATATGGCACATGTACCCCAAAAATGTAATTTTAAAACATGTAGGTAATTAAAGATATTCTAAGAACATTTTACAGTCTGCAGGGAACTGTTCTTGTTCTTGGGATTGCAAGTGAAAGTATTTGAGAGTCAAGTATTATGCTCACAACTCACTTTAAACAACAAGGCAACAAGCACCTATAGGTGTGCAGACAGGATAACATGAGTAGAACATCACACGAACAATTCTTGAATTGAATTGCACTGTTCTTTCAGCATTCCTTTGAAACTTTGGATAAACTTTGGTCATTTCTAAACATGGAGACAGGGAGCTGAGACCGAAGTAAGAGATGAGTTTCTGTAACACTGATTCTCCTGAAAACAGACTTTATTCTGGGCCAGTGAGACAGTTCAGAGGATAAAGGTGCTTGCAGCTAGTGCTTAAGACCTGAGTTTACTCCTCTGAGCCATATGATAGAAGGACAGAACTGATTCTCATAGATGTCTACATACGTTTTACACACACATACACACACACTCTAAATATATATAAAAACATTTAAAAAATAAATGACTTTAAGGCAAATTAGGCAAAATTCAACACTGTTAATGCTGCTCCTTATATTTTTCATTGGGGTGTTTATTTACAACTTTTCATAATAAAATAGAGACAAAAATAAATTTAATATGCTGTAAACTCTTTCACAAAATCAACAGCAAACATCAACCACCCTAAATACTAAAGCCATAATTAAAATAATTAATATCACCATTACCTTTATGTTGGGAGCCGCTGTTCTACCAGCTGCTTTAATATTTTAATCTCAGCGGAAAGACTGCTTTTACCAGGCCTTCACTGGAGTCAGGGAAGAATTTCCAAGTCTATCTCTTTTTGTTTGTGACAGCAGGTGGGATAGCTTGTCAAAATCACACCTCTTGTTTCACCTCCTTGTGATTTAAGTCATTGTGCTGAACTGCTTTTACTTTGGCTCAAAAGCAGTCTGAAATAAAGCTAGGCATCTAGTCTCCACTAGAGCCTCTCGGAAAGGTCCCATGTGCTGTGTGTTAGTTTATTAATCTTAATCCTCACTCCTGACTCAAGAACCATTCGACTCTGTTGGCAGGCTCTGGCACCTTTAGTATTTGTTTTAGCTACTTTTTTTTTTTTAATTTCTGTAAAGGGACACCATGACCACAGCAACTTATATTTAACTGAGGTGAGTCCATGACCACCAGGTTGGTAAGCAAGGTAGGAGGCAGGCAAGCACAGCACCAGAGAAGTAGCTGAGCGTTTTCATCTGACCCATGAGCAGGAGGCAGAGAGAGAGACTTCTGAAACCTCAACGGCTCTCAACTTGTTCCTCAAACTGGGAACCAGACACTCAAGTAGATGAGCCTATGTGGACCGTTGTCACTCAAACCACTATAGAATTCAATTCTTAGTTTGTGTTAGTACGCCTAGAACAATTACCTTAAAGTAATTCCTCAAATGCTTATGTGTTGAAGGCTCGGTTCTCAGCCAGTGATACTACTAAGAATGATAGAAACAAGGAAAGGGGCCGACTTGGGTAAAGCAGGTTGTCTGGGGCATACACTGAAGAGTACCTACGGCCCTTAGAGCCTTCCTTTCTCTTTCTGCTTCCTGGCTGCCATGAAAGAGCAGCCTCCTCCATCACACACTCTGAGTCATCAACACATTCCTCTGCCTTGTTGCAGTTTCAGAGCAATAAGGCTGGCCATCCAGGGACTGAAGCCTCTGAAGCTGGGAGCCAAAAATAAACCTTTTCTCTTTAAGTTGATATTTTTGGGTATTTTGTCACAGTGACAGAAATTTACAAAATAAAGATTCAGAAGAAAAGTTTTCTACCGCAGGCCAAATAAATGTTTTAGGTGTTGCAGGCCGTAGAGTTTCTATTACAACTATATAATTCTGTCATAGTAGCAGAAAAGAAGTCTTGGGCATTATGCAAACAAATGGATGTGGCAGCAATCAATCAGAAAAGGTTAGGGAGTTCAATTTGACCTGTGGGTCATAGTTTGAAAACTAAATAACCTAACTGGTTTAGTCACGAGGAAATAAAGAGTTAATAATATATGTTATATACATAGATATCTGTTATAGCATAATATGTTTTATATATATAGTTTACAAACAAAAGCTGAACATTAAGTATGAGAATTTAAAAAGATATTACTGACAATGAACAGAACTATTTAATTTTACTTTTGTGTATGTGTCTGAGTGTGTGTGAATGCCCATAGCAGCCAGAAAGGGGTGTTGAATTCCTGGAGCTGTAGCTTCAGGTGGTTGTGATAGGAATTGAACTCAGGTTCTTCAGGAAAGCAGCAAGCGCTCTTATCAGCCAAGTCAGCTCTCCAACCCCCCTGGCAGGGACTTCTTTCAAAGCAAGAAACAAAATTAAAATAGTCAACCATCAATTTTACAAAAAAAGGATAGGAATTAATTACAGAAAAAACTACTCATGCACTAAAAACAAACAAAAGAATAAATAAAGCCAAGTATGAAATATGAAATTTAATGTTCAATGGGAAATAGGACATGAAAATCTCCATAGATACAGGAAATAACAAAATGTAATGCTTATTTTAATAAAAATTATTGTACTATAACCTACATCAACAATATGAACCATTGTAAATCTGGATGTCTAGCAAAACTAAAGAACTGATAGCATCCAATCCACGTATGTGTGCGTGTTCACACCTCGCCTCCATTCTAGGAGAAAAAGTAGTTCTATGTTTCTGGAGGGCAACTCGAAGCACTTTTCAAAGCTATATTGGAGGCAAAGGCAGGCAGACTGACATAAGTTCAAGGCTAGCCTGGTCTGCATAGCACATTCCAGATCAGCCAGGGCTACATAATGAGAACCTATCTGAAAAACTGAGAGAGAGAGAGAGAGAGAGAGAGAGAGAGAGAGAGAGAGAGATTTGTTTGCTTGAGTCTTCCCTTACCAGAGGCTCCAGTTTTACAGGCTGCTGTCGCTTTCTTGTCCTCTCTTGAGCTTTTGTAGTGTGCCTAAATATCAGGGTTTGAGGGTCGTGTTCATGTTCTTTGAGTGTTAAATAATTCTGAACTCCTTTTGCTTTTATATTGTTTAGTCTGGTAAGCACGGGATTTTCTTCCTGCTGTTCAATAGTTTTCAGGTCAATATTACTCTCTCTGGCTTGGAAAGACATCTTTATCCTACACGAGTGGGATAAAGAAAAGAAAAAAAAAGGTGCAAAGTTGAACAAAATTGGAGAGAGATGTGGGGAGTGGTAAGAGAATTAGGGAGAAGTGAAATCACATACTTTCCCCCAAAGTAAACCAATCAAAGCTCTTGTGGTCTTCCCCAGCAGAGTGCTTGAACCAGAGGAAGAAAGATAGCCGAGTGTGCCTGGGCTTCAGGAAGCCCAGCTTTGGGGACGGCACTGGCTTGGGTTTGGAAGGACAAAGGGGAGGGCATTGAACACGAAAATTCTCATATCTGAGTTTGCAAAACATCTCCCAGAGAACGCGCTTTTTCAAATGCAAGTAAGAGGGCTAGGGGGATGGCTCCGTCTGTAAAATGCTTGCTACTCAAGTGCCTTAGTGTTTCCATTGCTGTGATGAAACACTGACCAAAAGCAACTTGGGGACCAAAAGCAGCTTATAGTCCAACTCTTGAAGGGAAGTCAGAACAGGAACTCAAGGCGGGAACTGACGAAAAGGCCATTAAGAAATACTGCTTACTTGCTCCTCGTGGCTTGCTCAGACTACTTTCTTATATAAGCCAGGACCACCTGCTCAGGGGTGAAATAGCCTGCAGTAAACTGGACCTTCAATCATCAACCAAGAAAATGCTGGACAGACAAGACTTTAGGCCAATCTTATGGAGGCTTTCCATCCGTGGAGAGGCGAAGCTGAGTGGCTCAGGGTTCAGGGCTCAGGGCTCAGGGCTCGGTTCCACTGGACTCACCAAGCAGTTCAAAAGCTACGTTCCTGAGGGATCTCCAGACGCTGGGAAATGCCTGGTCTGGGTACAGTAAGCCAGGTGGTAAAATGTTTCCCGTTGCTTAGCAACCACTGGGACTCCAAGGACGCTCCGTGCGCCAAGGAGGAGCCGGTAGCTGCAGGCTAGTCTCGGGGAGCCTGTGCTGCTTTTGCTCTGCGCAGCCAGGAGCCAGCCAAGTACTTGAGCCAATCAGCGTCTCCGGAGCGTTTGACGTCACTAGTTCTCAGGGAGCAGGCGCAAATTCCTTAGGATGGAAATCGCAGGCCGGGTAGACTGCAGGCTTAGGTGGTTAGGTCTTTCTGTATGTTCCTTCGTTGGCGAACGGTCCATGATCTTTGATCCAGCCTCCTTCAGGAATCTGTTGTCTCTCAGGAGTCTGACTTGAGATTCGGCTATCTCCTAAAATCCCGGGGGTGAAAGAATCGAGAGTCATGGGAGAGGGGTGGGTGGACCGTGAGACCCCTTTCACCTGCCTCGAGGAACTGCTTGGCAGAGACTGGTTTTCAACCTTCCCTGCAAAATGTCATAATCACTGCTGGAACTACCTTCGTTTTCATGCCTTGGATGGCGACCCCTTCAGTGAAGCCGAGAAACAACGGCACAGACCTCATTTAGCATGCTGGTTGGAAGCCACCTACCTCCAAGAGGATTATATGGAGCTGGAGTAGAGATTACTGATAACTCAGTCTAAACCACCACCCCTCACAACCACCTGAGTATTGAGCTGACATTTGTCTCTTGCCACATGAAGTTTTAGGGAACACATTTCAGTTTGTATGTGTGTGTCTCTGTGTGTGTGTGGGTTCTAGTGGAGGCCAGAGCGGAGTTTAATAAGACTTCGGTTCCTCCCTCATTATGTGAGTCCCAGGCTTGGCAGCAGGTGCTTTTAACTGCTGAGCCATCTCACTGGCCCTACGGAGTATTTAAACAATTTTTTTCAAGTTGGCAACTTGGCTTTTCAGAAGCTCAGAAGATTAACATAGCATACCAGCGCACACCAATTTAGTAGCAAAGGTATTAATGAGTAACGAAGGCCTGGTGTTAGCAGAATAAACAAGACCCCATTAGGCATGCTAAAGCAACACGCTACCTAGCCTTAGAAGGCGCTCGGGACCAGGGCTGATCCTCGCAGAGCCTCAGAGTTTCTGGCTCTCCGCCCGCCTCTCCCCACTCTTTGGCATTCTGTACATGTCTCTCTATGGGGTGATGCCCCTTCCCAGAATCTGCACCATGAACTGTATTTGTGCGCTGGAGAGGGCTTCGGGCCCTATGCCTCAGTAGGCCGAGGTACCACATTCCACTCACACAGCTTGCAACGGGAATTTCAACTTTGCCCCACTTGGCAGCATGTCTGGACATCATGTGGCCTCGAGGCTCTCAGCCTGGGTTTTCCCGGGCTCCCTGGTCTGCTGTTTATTAACAACTGCTCAAAACAACTTGCTACTGCGCATAGCAAGCACAGTTAAAGTCTGCTTTTTAAAGCAGCGGGGGCGGGAGATGGTTTGTTTTGTTGTTGTGCTTCCAGTTCTAGAATTTTAAAATTAAAAAACACCGGTTTTCCTTCACTTTAGATGATCCTTATTTCCAAACATGTGGTCTTGTCTTTTCAGATAATATACTAATTCAGAAGGTGAGGGCACTGATTTCAAGAGTTCATGGTCATTGTTGACCATGTAGAGACTTCCATTAGCCTGGGATACCTGCAACCCTATCTCAAACCGAATCAATAAAATAAAATATACATAGAGTTAGAGACTTAGACGGTGCCAGGCGGTGGTGGCACACACCTTTGATCCCTGCACTCTGGAGGCAGAGGCTGGCTGAGCTCTTAGCTCAAGGCCAGCCTGGTCTACAGAGTGAGTTCTAGGACAGCCAGGGCTACACAGAGAAACCCTGTCTCAAAAAGAGAAGCAACAACAAGAACAAAAAACAGATGTAGAATATAAATAATGTAAAATATCCGACGACCTTTATGTTGATTACATGCCAAAATGATAATATTTTAAGTAAACTGGGTTAAATAAAATATATAGTTAAAATAAAAATGTGTTAACACCAATGTATTTTCTTTATTTAAAAAATTACACATACATTTTGTTTGTTTGTTTGTTTGTTTGTTGTGTGGGGCCAAGGCACACGTGTGGAAGTCAGAGGGCAACATTTGAGAGTTGGTTCTCTCCTTTCACTATGTGGGTTCTAGGATCAAACTTCAGGCTTCCAGGCTTGACAGCAAGCACCTTTTCTCTAGGAGAGGACGCTCCAGCTCCACTGATAATTGGAAATATTATGTGTCTTCCACTAATGTTATCTGAGTACAATGAGAAGCAGAATTCTCTATATTGACATTATTTTGAAGTACATTAAGTATTCTTTTAATATCTATTTTATGTGTATGAGTATTTTGCTTTCATGCATTGTGCACCACATATGTGCCGCCGAAGGTCAGAAAAAACCATCAGATCCCCTGAGACTGAAGTTACAGATAATGATGAGCTGTCATCATGTGTGTGCTGGGAAGCGAACCTGTGTCCTCTGGAACAGCAGCCAATGCTCTCAACTACTGAGTCATCTCTCCAGCGCCTGCATTCATCATTTTATAGTGTGACAAAATGAACCTTTTAGTAGTAAAGCAAGCCTAAAAAACCATAAATTTCACATTGGCTTTTTGGAACTTGAAGAGAAAATGGTACTGGCTTTTACTAAAAACCTGGGGTGGCAAGGGGTACCCTGTGGCTAGCCTACTGTTTTCCAAGTACATCTTCTCGCAATCACTTCCTAGTGTCTTCACTGGCTGCAATATCCTTTCCCTCACATACTGTTTTGCTGGCTACTAAGAAATCAAGGACATCTGGTTGTGTCTTCGTAATCACAATGGACCCAGAAGATCCATCTTTGCATTGCTGCCCACCCTGGAAACAGTGGCTTGCAGTGGCCAGCTTCCTGAAAGGGGCCGTGAAGCCCCTGCAGCAACAGAGCAATCTGTGTCAGCATTTTCTGTCCTTTCTTTCAGCTCTTAAAACTATATACAATAAATATGCAATGAACACCAGACCTTATTTCTCAGACTGAGGGGCAGCCTAGTACCCCTTGCTCAACATTTCCTCTTTCTCCCTACTCCCTCCTCAAACAAACAAACAAACAAACAAACAAACAAACAAACAAAACCACCTGGCTTTTTTTATTGAGTTGTTAAATGAAATTTTGAAAATCATCCAGTGTCCTAGTTATTTTTAACTGTCAGCTTGACACTGCCTCCTAAAACAGTTATCTGTGGGAGTCTCAGCTGAAGAGCTGCTCAAATCAGGTTGTCCTGATTTGGGACAGTCTGTGAGAAAGTCTGTGGAGAGAATGTCTTGATTGTTAATTGATATAAGAAGGCCAAGGCCACTGTGGGCAACACCATTCCCTGTACGGGTGGCTCAGAATGTGGAAGAAAGCCAGCTAAGATGAGCCTGAGCAAGTAAGTTGCTGATCTAGTCTGTGTTCTAGAAAATGCTCAGGCAATGTCTTATCTGTCGTTGTCTCTGCAAATACTGACCTAAGTCTATCCTCTCCTTCCTTCCAGTCTTGGACTAAACTTGAATTAAATTTAGATCTTTCCTCTGAATCCTGTATGAATTTTGTCTTCTCTTCAGCATTTTCCCGTCAGTACTTTTTTTGTTTGTTCTTAATATTTCATTTACCATTCCCTCCTACCTACTTTCCAGTTCATTTATGTTCTCATGAACTCTGTTTAATACGCTAGTCCATCTATTACCAAGCTTGTCTCTACGCGGTAAACATAACATTAAATTTACGAGCAGTAGAACCTAAAGCCTGTTCCCACCTGTACAGCCACCACCACTACCCACTTCTAAGACATTTTCATCACACTAAAGAACCCCCCACCCCAAGATGGCACTCTTGACCTCTGAGCCAGCTCTCCATCCTCGGTCATACACATTACAACAGTGCAGTTGACTAAACTTATATTTTAGTATTATACTTTTGTTGAGGCTCAGGAATAGCCACACACTGACCACTCAGACACCAGACTCAGATAGCTGGAAGCCTGTTGGATGCTAGCAAAGTCTGACAGGTCAGGGACACACCCTGGATTTGTGACCCACGACTGTGATGCTCAGCCATTTTCAGAGTGGGTTTTTAAAGGGAAAAGACCATAACCAAGCAACAAGAATCAATTCTACTGCGGGTACTTTGTGT